GAACTCTATCGATAACGATATAAATCACAAAAATGTAACATTCTGTAAATTCTGTGAATCTCGAGCAGCTCGACTTGCGTGAAGTGTTTCCAGCTGGAGTCAAGTGTTTTAACCGACGCATGAAACGAAACATTTTTAGACATAAGTTGTAACGGACGCCGTTTTCTTTATGAGTATTTATTACACGGCGTGCTGCGGTGAAAAGCCTTTCTAACGGAGTCTAAGGTTTATTTTTTAGCACCTGACGGCTCTTTTTTGCTCTGCATACTCTTTCATGTGATTCAGTTTATTTTGAAAAGTCTCAACAGGATCTTGAGCTTTATTATGAAAGGTTTACGTGGAAAATAAACAAGCGGACACGCGATGGTTTTACCGTCGTTGTTGCTAACAACCCATAAAAACAGGCACTTGTCCATCTGTAGTGTGGTTATATTAAATATAAGAGAAAGAGAGAACTTTAAGAAATTAATATAACCACTACTGTGACCATCAAAACGATGAAAAAAATATTGCTGCGAACAGTTTATTTTGCGACACCACGAAACAAACAATAGCATAAAATGAAACGATAGACATCTTTATATCGTCATCCGATATATATTGTTATATCGAACAGCCCTAGAGTTGATTCTAGCAAAGGAGAAAAACAGAAGTTTCTAAACACTAGATGCTTGGCCTGCTCTTCCCACGTCTGCGTTTACAATGTGCCAACCACTAAAACAGGCCCGTTTTTCTCCTCTTACTGCTGTCTGACACAAAGCACATGGTGAGGACATTTACACATTATTCCCACAGTAACAGGTCACAAGGAGAGGAGCAACAACAACGAGAAAGAAGATAGCATTACTGCAGGAATTGTTTGCTTCATTACAATCATATGATACCAGTTAAGCTAACTGAGTCATTCACAGCCAATTACTGCATTTGGAGAAGCATCCAAGTTGGAGATACCTGAGCAAGAGAAGAAAATCTGTGGAAAACTGAATCACTTGTTTTTTTTTTATGAAACTTGAACAGATGTTTCATCTTGTGATTCAGAAGTCTGAAGGGTGTGGTGTAGGGGAGGTAAAATCTTACTGGTAACAGGGGCGGCGTTGTTTGGAGTGTCAGCCCTCAGGTACTGCGTGGTCTGGGTGGACGGCTGAGAAAGGCCCTGTGAGCTTCCACTGTCACTCACACTGAAAGACACAGAGTTGTATATTATACGTTAAAAAAAACAAAACCAAAAAAAAAAAAAAAACAGTCCTTGATAAACATCCTCCCTAAAGCACAGGATAGTCATTTTCTTTCAGTCAGTCAAGTTATGGTTTTAATTGACAGTCACATGGCTCAAGGTGCTTTATAGCGTAAGACCCTATTTGGTGACATTGAGAAAGAAAAACTCCCTTTTAACAGGAAGACACCTGCAGCAGAACCAGGATCAGGAAGGGGCAGCCATCTGCTGTGACTAATGAGGGTGAGGAGGAGGAAGACAGGACAAAACACACATTATGGGAGAGTTTAATAATAAATACTAATAATTACTACTGATTAAATTCAGTAGTGGTGTATAAACGCACAGAGAGTGAGGAGAAGATGTTCAGTGCATTATGTGAAACATCCACACAAGCCTATTGTAGCATAACTCAGTAAAATAGAAAGTAGAGAAGGTGTCCGTCTCCTGAATCCAAACTGGGAGCTGATTCCACAGAAGAGGGCCCTGAAAACCTGCAGTCTGTTTAGGTTAAATGCTCTATTGGGACAATATGGTACTATGAGGTCTCTAAGATATGACGTGGCCCTTTTATTAAAGATTTTGTTTGGGAGGAGAATGATTTTAAATT